ACAGACACACAGACACACAGACACACAGACACACAGACACACAGACACACAGACACACAGACACACACACAGACACACACACACACACTTGTGGTAGAAGTCGCGGCCCGGGGGGCACGGGCCTGGGTGCACCGTTATATGTACAAGACGGGATTGCAATCGAAACCGGTGAAAAGACCTTCTCAAGGGCACCCTCATGTCCGTGCCCCCTTGATCCATCCTTGACTACTTTCGATGGCCCGCCGTGCTCGAAAACTAACTTCAACACGGGCGCCCTAGCGGCTTGCATCCTTATCGCACATCCTCACGTGCGACGGCACAGTCTTACATCGCAACACGGCAGAATCAGTCTGCACGCGCGTTCAGCAGGTCGGGCGACGGCAATGCAAATTGTCCCGGATGCAAGAGAAGAGGGAAGGAACAAAAAAGGGGGGCCGCAGAAGAGGAGAAAATTAAAGAACTAACAGTCATACGACTAATACAAGGAATACTAGCACTACAAACAATATTCAGAAGAACGATGATAATAATTAACATAGGTAAAGGGAACTTGCGAATACTAGTAACATAAATGATAATAATAAACACAGTGATAATACCATAATAAGAAGAATCAACGTACTGCGAATAATAATAACCATACAATAAAATAATGGTAATAATAACAGTAATAGTAATAATAATAATGATACCGGAGAACAACCCCAATCAGAATTTGTTTGGGGCTATAGGGCTATAGGGTTATTTGGTTATAAGGCTATTACAAGGCTATAGGGCTATAGGGCGATAAGGATATAAGGCTATAAGGCTATAGGGCTACAATGCACCGGGCACCCGGGCACCGGGCACCCGGCACCTGGGCACCCACCCGGGCACCGGGCACCCTTCACCGGGGCACCAGGGCACCCGGGCATCCGGGCACCCGGGCCCGGCCACCGAATCGGCGGCGAACCCGGGCACCCGGGCACCCGGGCACCCGGGCACCCGGGCCCGGCCACCGAATCGGCGGCACACCTCACCTACCCTGAAATCCGCTAGGACCCCTACAGAGGCAAGCTCTGATTGGGAACATAATAACAAGACAAAGTATGAACACAACGGCATAAACATACGCGGTCGACGGTCCGCGCGGATTTCTTGTATCTGCGCTGCACCCCCCTCCCGCTGAGCGGAGCGCGCCAGGGGCGGCGCCGGAGGCCCCGCCGGCGGGTCCAGCGCGGATAAAAAATCCGCGCGGAGCGCCAAAACTCTGTTTATGACGTTTTTCCTCCTTCGAGAAAAATTGGGGCGAGGGCGCTAACGCGACGGGGACCGCAGCGGGGCGCTGGGCGGCGGCCAAGCGGGTGCAACACCCCATGACTTGCTGCCGGACACCACCTGCTGCGGCCCCTTTTGGGCGGCCTCGAGCCGTGCTCTTTCTCCATGTGCCACGACGCCCTCTCGGACCCTCACTTCCCCCGGGTCCCCTACGGGCCGCCTGGCCAACTCCGACCCTGCGAAGCTCGAGTCCAGCACCGACTCGCTCTTCCTGGCAGAGGGGAGGGGGGGGGAGGGGAGGGGAGGGGGAAAGGGAGGACTTGGATGGGGGAGGGGATGCCAAGGGCAGGGCCCCACGAGGCCCCAAGATGGCTCGACAGTGGTCTCGGCGCCTTGCAATAAGGCCACCTGGAAGCGAGAATCGCACAAGGACTAATCGCTGTTTGCTGTTGCCTTCTCGCTGTTTCGTCCTCAGGCGCCTCAAAGACCTTACCAGTGGTGATTCCAAACTTCCCCCCAGACGCCACCTCCAAGTATCTGGTCGGTCCCCCAACGAAAGCGTCATAAAAACCACGCACCGCCCTGTGCCCTACAACACTGGGCGCAGGTCCTAAACATATAGAACTGCTGTCTGCCACCAGTGCCACCGGCTAATGGGGCAGATGTGCTGGTTGGTAGCACAGCTGATAACTGATAATGCCTTGCTGTTTGCCCTTCGAACCGGAACACCTCGACGGCAAAAACGGGGCACGGCCGCGGGACTAACCGCAGGAGACAGGACACGATTGATATAGTTACGTGTTCCCCAACTCTGGCACTTCGTCCTCGTCCTGCTTTGTTATTCCTTTTCCTCGTCCTCCTCTTCTCCTCTTCCTTCTCTTTATCGTCTTCCTCATCCCCCTTTTGCCTTATCTCGGTCTTTTCTTTGACTCGTCCTCTTCTTGCCCGCTTTTTCCTTCCCCGTCCCCCTCCGCCACATCCTCCTCGGCCTCCTCCTCCTCCTCCTCCGCCTCTTTGGCTCAAGCTTGCCTCACTGGTCAGGTCCAGCGAGCTGGGGCCCAATTTGTTTCCGCGGGCTTCCAGGAAACCCAACGTCTCCCACAATCCTACCAGCCCTTTAGGGCGTAGATGGTCTAGGGAGCTTCCTCTTCCGACCCCCGTCTTCCCCTTCGGGGAGGGGCTTACCACTGTTCCCTATAAGTAAACATTCCCTCCCCCACTAGGCCGGAGCCAACCCGGAACAATGCGCACACCATGAGGGCACCCCGCGGCCCCCCCCCACCATCCCTGTCAAAAAAACAATACAAAACGCACTCTGACTCCACATTCGGAGCATGCGCAACCAACCTGATGCGCCCCCCCCCCCCCCCCCACAACCACCCCTTTCAAAAAACAATACAAAGTACAGTATGGGTCAAAGTCTGGAGTCATGTTCGCGAGGCCCGCGGGCACTTCGTATTGTTTTTCGACAGGGGCGGCGGGGGTGTCTGCTGCGCGCAGGGCTACCATCCCTGACAAACACACAATACAAAATGCACCTCGCGGCACAATGCGGATAGTGCGCGGCCACCCCTCGATCATTGTCAAGTGGATTTTGTCAATGATGGCGGGGATGGTGGTGCATGGCCTGCTGTGCGCAGAACCACTCGGCACAATGATGGGCATTGGTTCTTGTCAAATATGGTGGGGGCCGACATGTTTCCCGATGTGTGCTGTCATGCGCGCAGGCGCACCTGACACACTCTGCACGTGCCCCAGACGTGGCGCACCTGGCGCGGCTGGAGAGAACATCTCGCGCATTACGCGTGCCTGGCACGTTCGGGCCCCAGGGGTGCCTGGCGCGAGTGGCGCGCCTGGCGCGCGTGGCGCACCTCGCCCCAGCGTCGCGCACATGGGCGCGGTTTTGGCTCCCAGTAGCAGTCCATCAAAAGACGACCGCGGAACATGCTGAGGCTCGGGTGTTACTTATGTGGTTGGAGGGCGGGTGGGGGTGAGCTAGACGGCTTGCCGTCTGGAGGGGGTCTTGACCCCTCCCCCGACCCCCTCCCCCGGACCTGGACGGGATAGTTCGAACGTCCAAAACTGCCTCGGCGAGGAAGCTAAAAAGGATTCTGTTTACTAAGGGTTGGTCCTCATTTTGCCTCTTAGAAAGGGCGGCCTAATTAAGGAAGCCCCCCTTCTTTGATCGATCTCTTCCGAAATGGCCCCGAAAGCGCCCCCAAGGCTCTCAAGGGTGCCCCAAGAGGGCCACGAGAGGTGACCAAGAGGCCCCAGTAGGCTCCAAGAGGCCCTCAGGATGCCCTCAAGAGGCCCCCCAAAGGCCCCCCAGAGGCACCCGAGACGCTCCAAGAGGCCTCGCCGAGAATGCCAAAATCATTGACTAAACCAAAACATGTTGGCCACATTTCGGCCTCTTGGGGGGCGGCACTGATTAAGATGACTCCAAGATCGCCTGGGGGAACCAAAGATGACCTCTAAAATTGCCCAATCCATCCCAAGATGTCCCAAGGTGCGCGCCGAGGCCGCCCTGCAGGTGGACGCGGCCGCTGTGGGGCGGGAGGTTAATTCACTCCCCCGCGGGGCTGCGTCGGGGCCAACGGGCCTGCGACCGCAGCACCTCAAGGACGCCCTACAGACGACGGCTCACAGGGACGAGGTCCTGGAGCAGCTCCTCAGCCTGACCAACCTGCTTGCCCTGGGCCGGGCGCCCCCTGCCACCGCGAAGTTCTTCGCGGGCGCCTCGCTGGCGGCCCTCTCGAAGGAAAACTGCGGTCTGCGGCCAATCGCCGTGGGCGAGACTCTGCGCCGCTTGGCGGACAAGTGCCTCTGCGGCGAGGTGTCAGGCGCCGCGCGCGCAACGCTCCGCGGTCCACGTCGCGCGGCAGTGGTGGAGCAGTAACCAGGGGGACCGCCAGAAAGTGCTCGTGAAGGTAAACGTGTCGAACGCTTCCAACGCACTGGACAGGCAGGCGGTCCTACAAGCCGTTCGCAAAGATTTCCCTGCCTGCACCCCATTTGTGGACTGGTGCTACGGCGCCCCAAGCTCACTGTCCCTTGGAAAGAGAACGCGGCCGCTGTCTTCCGAGCGCCGCGTCCAACAGGGCGACCCGCTCGGCCCGCTACTCTTCGCGCTCGTTCTTCAGCGCTGCGCGGAGCAGGCGCGCGCTGAGCAAGCCGACCCAGCCGACGGTTTTCTGGACTTGGTGTTCTTCTACCTCGACGGCGGCTGCCTGGCCAGGGGCGCGCCCGCAGTTGCCCGCTTCCTGCGCCGCCTTGTGAAGCGCTTAGCCGCAGCTGGACTGGGCATCGGCTCTGGGCCAGGCAAATGCGAGGTGGTACTTGCCAGCGGCGCCGACAGCAACATGGGTTTGACCGCGTTCCCGCCGGGCTTCTGCCCAATGGGGGACAACAGCTTCGAACTCTTGGGGGCCCCCGTGGGGGGCGACAGCTTCTGCGAGGAACACGCCAGGGCAAGAATGGCCAAAGCCGATGACCTTCTGGAAGATCTCGAGGCCTTGGAAAACGCCCAAGTGGCCTTGCTACTGCAGGCTGGGCCACTCCGCGCACGTGATTTCGCCGACGGCGCACGCTGGCGCGCTGCAGACTATGGACTCCGCCGTCCAGGCATGTCTGGAGCAGCTCAGCGGGTGTTCCCCCTTGGGCGACTCTTGGGAGCAAGCGCGGCGGGCGGCTCGGGCTCCGGCTCGGGCTTGGGAGCAAACTCGACCGAGGCGGGTTCGGGCTCCGCTCCTTCGAGAAGCACGCGGCGGCCGCCTACCTGGCCACTCGCGCCCGCAGCACGGAACTCTGCTGACAGCTCTACGGAGCCTGCGACAATGCCGACGGCGGAGACGAAGGCTGCCCGGCCGCGGCCGCGCAAACTTTCAACGAGGCAGCCCTCCCAGCAGACCCGATCACCTTCGACCCCGCCCAGCGCGAAGACCAACGGCTCCTCTTTGGAACAAGGGGCGACGCTGTCCGCGACGACCTCTGGCAGCGCGCCTCGCCGGCGACAAGGGCCCGCCTCAACTTGGTGGCGGCCCCAGGCGCCGGGGCCCACTTGCAGGCGCCGCCGTGCCGGGCGCTCGGCACCGACTTGTCGCGCGGCTGGATGAAAGCGGCGCTGCAGCGCCGCCTTCGGCACCAGCTGCTCGAAGAGAAGGCTTTTGCCCGGCGTGCGGGGAAGTGATGGAAGTGTTCGCGGACCGCGCGCTCACCTGCAGTTGCCGCGGTGACCACGCGAAGCGTCGCAGCTGCCTCCAGAACCAACCTTGGCACGAGGCGCTGGCTGCGGGCTACGCTGGGGCGGAACTCGAGCGCCCGGGCTTGCTGCCGCCGCGCGCGTCTGTGGAAGGCCCCCCGGCCGGCGAGGCTGGTGGCGACGACCTGGGCGGCGACGGGAGGCGCCCCGCGGGCGTCTTCGTCCCGCGGTGAAGCGGCGCGCTGGCGGCGTGGGACTTCGCCGTGACCTCGGGCCTCCGCGCGGACCTACTCGCGGCTTCGGCCGCGGAGGGCGGCGGCGACGCAGCGGCGATTTGCTGCGAGGAGCAGAAGCACTCGCACCTGGACACAGCGCAAATGCTCAGAGGCCGGCCCAGCGTTCATACCGATGGTCTGCGAGACCCACGGCGGCGGCTGGGGCCGCGAGGCGCGACGCGCCTTCACGGTGCTCGCGAAGCATGCGGCCGGCGCTACCGGAGACCTGGAGTACCCCAAGGGGGCCCCAAGTCGGCCCAGAAAGGCCCCCCAAACGGCGTCGGACGGGCCAGGGGCCCACCGAGATGGCCGAAATTGGTTCGAAGCTGGCCCAAGACGGCCCGAGAGGCCTCCAAGAGGGCCTCCACGAAGGCCCCAAAAATATCAAAATCATTGATTTCCCAAAAAGAATTTTGAAGGATTTTGGCATTTGCTTCGCTTCGGCCTTCCGACGGCCCGATACGGCCCAAGGGTCCCCAAAGATCGCCCAAGAGGCCCCCCAAATTTTCCCCAGAACGGCCCAAGAGGCCCCCAAGACGGCCCCAAGAGGCCCCCAATACGGCCCAGGGGGCTTTAAGACGCACGAGATGGCATCCAAGACGGCCCTGGAACATTCCTTGAGGGCCCCAAATCGCCTCAGAGAGGCCCTCCAAACGGCTTCCGACGGCGTCGGGCGGGCCAGGGGCCCGCCAAGACGGCCGAATATGGCGCTGCGATGATCCAATGCGGCCCAAGAGGCCTCCAAGAGGGCCTCTAAGAGGGCCCGAAGAGGCCCAAATTATTGGTTTCCCATAA